GTTAATTTTTATTCTAATAAGAACTAATACTATCTATACTACTAACTACTATTATTATATTATATTATTTATGTATATAAGCTACTAGCTTAGAAGTAAGTATACTTATATAGTAAAATATTATATAATCTAGCTAATATAGAACTATTATATATAAGTATAATAGGTTTCTTATAATATAAGTATATACTCTCTCTATTAATATTAAGGTATTATAGATTAACTAGTTCTTTTAGTCTAGTACACTTATCTATATAGCAAAGTTTATACTATATAGTAAAAACCTACTTATTATACGCTTCTTTACTATTACTACTACTAGAACGCTTCTATTCTAAAGTAGCACTATTATAGCTACTATAGTTAACCTTTAGATAAGACTTACTTAAGTAATTCTAATCTTACCTATAAAAGTAAATAGCTAATATACTTTATTTTCTCTTAAGGTATAAGACTACTTCTACTCTAACACTAGTATACACTATATCTTCTCTAACTAGAGTATTTAAAATAATACTTACGCTACACTAAAAGACTTCATAACCCAATATAGTAATAGTAATCTACTAGAGAACACTAAATGTATCTCTAGTAATACGTATAATAGTATTATTACTTATATCTATAATAGCTTCTACTACACTAGCTATATACTCTACTAGAACGCTAAGTAGAGTATTAACTATGTTATTAATAACTATAACTTTAGTAAGAGTATAGAATAGAATAGCTAGAAGATAAAAGGTATATAGTATAGTATTATATATAATTAGAATAATCTATATAGCTATAGCTATATAGGTTATAGTATAACTTACTAGTAAAGATAAGTTATAGATAACTAATATAATTTAATCTATAGAACTAGTAATTAGGTAATAAGATTTTCTAGCCTTAATAGTAGCTTTATATTAATTAAGAAATTTATATACTATAAATAGCTAGCTTATAAAATTAGAAATAATTATATATAGATTACGTATAAGTAAGATAAGTATATAGAGTTATACTATAAGTATATTATAGCTAATCTAGTTTATATAGCTTAGAATTACGTATAGATACTATACTAAATTAAAACTATATAGATATTAAGCGCTTATTACTAGATAACTAAATAAATCTAACACTATTTTAGAGAGTATAGAGTAGTTAGATATATAGTAAATCTAATACTTTAGAGAATTCTTAATATTCTAATTAGCTTAATTAGTACTAGCTATAAAGTTATTAGGCTTAGAGGCTAGTTCTATGCAAATTTATTCTAACATAGTAGTTACTAAAGTAGCTATAGACTACTAACAACACTTATAAGTTTACTAGAAAAGATTAAGTATAGTATTACTATTAGTAGTGCTATTATTATTATTCTTCTATATTAATTTAGCTATATCTACTTTATAGCTTACGTATATATTCTAATCTATACACTTTACCTTTATAATCTATTTCTCTCTAAGACTTTATTTAAGCTTAAGATAAGTAAAGTAGTTTATAGAACTTAGAGTAACTACGTATTAGTATACTAGCGTAATATCTATAAGAGTTTAGTATTCTTTAAGCTTAGTGTAGTAGATATTAATAGTATATAAATAGTAGTTAAAAACCTTTCTAGAGTAGTTGTCTATAACTTTTTAGTATGCTAGAGCTTCTTAAAGAGAATACTAACTTACTGCTAATAAAAGCTTAGGTAATAATGCTAAGATTTGTGTTCTATATAGAGTTTGCGAAAAGACTAGCATATCTATAGTAGAACTATTATTAAAACATAGCAAGTCTTCCTCTTTAAAGGATAAAGAAGGCAGAACATCGCTTCGGATTAGTGTTAGGAAGCCCGCAAAACTAAGAAAATTTGCGAAGCGTGTTTATTATCACGTCGGTTCTTCGTACGATAGAACAATCGTTAATGTACTACTTAGTGGCAGACTCTTAGACACCGATCTCAGACATCGGAAGACTAAACTACTCGTTATAGGAAGACGATGGGGAAGAGGATCTTCTAAAAGACTACACTAGAGCTGATACCTTGAAAGGAGAGCCGCAATACAACCCCTTTGCAGGAGATATTCGACGAACGTAAGCAGAAAATGTAGTCTCTCCACTCCCATGCTGTGTATCTTGAGCGAGATAGCTTAACTTTGTAGGGTGTTTATTTCTTTGGAGAAGAAATACACCGTATCTTAAAACTTAACTTAATTAGACCTTGTGACTAGTAAAGTCAACGTGGCTCTTGGTGCTTCAACAGGTGCGGCTCGAAGTATCTGTTCATGCATGCGCGAAGGATCTAGTGCCAGACCAAGTGGGCCAACGAGTGACGGGGCGGCACGGACGGATGCCTGTCTCCGGAAACGTCATGCCGGCAAATGTAATAAGCACGCAGACGACAAGCGTTTGGTAGGCGATGTTCAAGACGTATTGATCCAACACAGCGGGTGTGGGATTCGCGTTGTTGAACACTCCCGAGGTCCAGTGGGTCGGACGAGCGAAAGACGGTAAAGAGACTGCGGATATCAGGCCTTTGTATCACAACGTAGCTGATCTAAGATCCAAACATCGCGGAAACGACTAAGCGCTGAGCGATCGGGTGGGAAAACGAGTCATGTGTACTTCGGCGCATGGCGCAATAGGAAGGCAAGAACCCCACCGAACGATGGTTATCGTGCGAAAGGATCGAAGGATTGCAATAGAAGGCTGCCCCGCGCTGCTTTCTTTATCCTTTGACAAACATTGCAGAACAAACACTCATCGCCAGACATGCCAATACCTGTACCAGATATCCTCGAGCGGGTTGCGGCCGCCGGCAGAGGTTACGAAGCCGAGCAAATCGGCTCACGAGAAAGTCTCATCGAGCTTGGTCGAGACCTGGTTGCGGCGCTCGAGATACCTAGTGAATTCCTGCAGAGAAGCTTTTGGGCCGAGGTTCGTGACTGAACCTGCACTGTTACCAGCATACTGATGAGTCTACAGCCGGCATTGTCAGCGCACTGCAAGTTCGCTGTTGAAGTCAAACTCTTCCAGCATCTTAGAGATGCAGGCGATGCCGGAGTTAGTCCGGGCGACCTTGCTCAAAAGACGAGCGTTGACCCCATTCTATTGCAACGGATCATGCGTCACCTAATCGCAATGAAGGTCGTTTCCTTCTCGAACGGTAGATTCCTCGGTACCCGTCTGAGCCACGAACTTGCAGCGGACAACTATCAGAAGAGCATTGACTTCTGCTACGACGTGTCACGACCGTCGTTCAATGGTTTCCCGGAGTATTTCAAGAAGACTGGTTACAGGCTCCCCACGTCGCCTACAGAAGGACCATTGCAGGATGCGCATGGAACAGATTTACCTTTTTTCCCATGGTTGGTCGCAACGCCTCCTCATCTCGACGAGTTCGACAACTTCATGTCGGTGTATCGCGCGGGTAAGGCGAATTGGTTCGACCCCGGCTTCTACCCGGTCGCAGAACGGTTGATTGATGGCTTTGATCCCAGCTGCAGCGAGGCCCTTCTGGTCGATGTCGGCGGCGGTCGCGGTCACGACGTCCAGCAGTTCGTGACTCAGCACCATTCTCATCCGGGCAAGGTTGTTCTTCAGGATCAAGAGCCAGTCATCGCGGCTATCAAGGATAAGGAAGGACTTCCTTTTGAGAGTCAGGTCCATGATTTCTATACGCCTCAGCCTATTCAGTCAGCCAGGGCATACTCATTGCACTCAATTCTGCACGACTGGAATGACGAAGAAGGCGTCAGGATTCTCGAAAGCCTGAAGCCAGCACTGAAGCCCGGCTACTCGCGGGTGCTGCTGAACGAGATTGTGCTTTCGGAAGAGAAGCCTACCATCGCCGCCACCTCTATGGATATGATGATGTTAGCACATCTTTCGGTGCGCGAGAGAACAGAAGCGGAGTGGAAGGCGATCGTTGAAAAGGCTGGTCTGAATTTCTTAGCCATCTACAATTACCCCGGGGTTGCTGAGAGTGTTATTGAAGCGGAACTACGGGAATAAGGCGCGGGGCTGCAATGACAAAGGGAACGGGGTAATAGATGTCGTGTAATAAGGGAAGTAAGAATGAATAGAGTGCGCTTTTGACGCAAACTGCGGCATAGTCCTCGGCGGGGCTGGTCATTGAGACTGGGAAGTGTAATGACGCGCAATGAGTATGTTGTGTGGCGATGAAACGCGCAGCGCAGCCCGCTGCCGGAAGGAACTCGGAGCAGCTAGCGCCAACCGAACGTTTAAATACGGCCCAGGTGATTAGTCCGTCGCTCTCGTCCCTGCCACGTGTGCGCGCCTCGATAACCAACAAGCACATTGATGTAGTACATTCGAATGGTTTGAAGTTCCGATTCGGTCTCTATTTTGGTCCCTCTATGGATGCGCACTCTCTACCCCGACCTTTGCGCTCTGAATGTTACCCAGGTACAGAGCCCCTACCCCAAGACCAGGCATCATCACACATCTACTCGCAAAAATAGGCCCCATCACGGCCATGGTACATCAACCATCCGCCCCTAGGCCCCCAGCAGTATATGGTACCGTCAGGCCGTTGAATGCCGTCCCCATACTGAGGGTCAACGGGAGGTGAACTCCAAACAGGAAACATGCCGTTTGTATGAGCGAACAGACGCTGATCATGCTGTATCGTCGCTAGGCGTAGCTGCTCTCCTATGCTGCTGAAGCTCCCACTTACTGGACGCGGCCTCCGCGTCTCACGATTAATATGAGACGGCTCACGACCCATGCGTTCCGGTCTACTATCCGCGTTCGTGACAATAGCGCGCTGCGTGTCATTTCGTCCAGTGCTTGTCATCACTGATTGTACAGCAGCGCGAGCTGTGTCAATGTCCACTTGATTGAGTCGACGTAGTCCTCCAAGGCGACGAATCATGGAGCGAGCTCGCGCAAGGCTATCAAAACGCTGCTCTAATGACCCATTATCTTCGATGTGACGCTGGCTGTTGAGAGCCGCGTAGATCTCGTCGAGTTGTGCATCTAGTGCAGCGAGTTCTTCACTGTAGCCGTCGGTGGGCGAGGGCACTCGAGCATCGCGTAGAGGTAACGTTCCGTGGCTCAAAATCGCTTCGGCTGAGTTCGCACGAGAATGTCCGGGCGAGCGCATAATACTTCGAGGAGTCGGCGAGGACGGCTGTGGACTATAGGGACCAGGAATCGTGGGGTCTCTTGGAACACGATCTGTCCGAACCGTCTCTGCAAACCGCACGTTACGTGACGGTGAGTTGATGCCATGCGCTTGTCCCATGGTCAAAGTGTCGAAGTCATGCGCCAGACGGTCGATTGTCTCGCCTCCAGATCGACGCGCGGGAATGCTGCGACTAGCTGTACCCCTATTTCTGATGGTGTTGAGATTCTCCATGGTGCCCTGTAAAGCCTCGACGAAACTGGGAACTTGGCGACGCTGACTACTCAGTAGAGACGCAACATGTTCCCGAACTTGATCGCGCTCGCTTGACAATATCTCTTCGTCCAGCCAGTCAATTGGAATTGGGTGTACGGCATTGATGTTACGATCGCCGTTTAACGGTATGTAATCGGCATTAGCTGCCCTGTTGACAGCCGCTGCAGTACGGTATTGCCCGTAAAGGGTGTGAAGTGTGCGGTTTTGAGAAGCCATCTTGTTGCTGTCAGAGAGGTCGAGACTGTAGACCTGCAAGCAGCCTGAGAAGAGAATCTGCCCTTGGGACTCGTGTGAAAAATGGGTTTTGGATGGGTTGATGGCGAGCTGATAACACCGGCGTAACCCGTTGGCAGCTTGCGAATATCGTTCAAAGCTGTAAGTTTTACCAGGGTTGAAGTAGGAGTAGACAAATTGCTGACAGCTGTAGAGGAGGCGCTCTTATATAGCTATGGCCGAACGCGGTCGCATAGCCATCAGCAGATCGAGTAATGTCACAACTGAGAGCTTTCACCTCTCCTCAGTGGCTGCAGATGAAGGCAGTAGTAGGGAATTTAGTACGGTTAGTGAAAAGATCGAACGTGTGTGAGCTGTCCAGTCTCTCAAGCGACCCGTTGCAGCCACCTTCACCATGGTCGCGACCCATCGGTCCCGAGGTTTATCAAGAACCAATTTTTTGTCGCCTTCGGTGACCTGATCGCAGAATGTGCCAGTCGACACCAGCCACTTGACTGTTGTTGTAGATTTTGGAAGTTAGTAACCCACTATTTTTGGAGTGATACAGCGAAAATCCGATACAGGATTGCTATTTTATCTCTATTTATTGTGCGTGCTACATACGTGTGTGCCCTAGCGAGAATTGCTATTTCCAAACGCCCCTGAACTGACTCGGATCGAGGAACGGAAATGGCGGCAAATCCGACGATGACGAACTTTGCCGCCTGTGAGCATCCGGTGCACCTGCCTGCAGAAATTGATCATACAAACTTTGACCCATTTGACGGCGTCTGTTGTACGCCTCAGCGGCACGGTAGTTAGCAACCTGTTGAAGAACCTCTTGTTGCTGACGCAGAAGCTCCTCGGAGTCCCCGCAATCAAATTGCGAGAAACGATGGACCATCCGATCGAACTCTTCATCCTCTCGCAAAGGCTCTTGGTGCTCGGTGTCTCGTGTTCCTCCGCTACCTTTTGCTTGCGTAGGGCCGTCCAGTCGCAGTTGCTCTTGCTTGGCTGCATCGAGAACGCGCATAGCTTTCTCATGCCTTGTCCGAGCGATGGCAAGCGTTGCAAATCCGAATTTGCGTATCTTTTCGTCGTCCAAGCCCGAATAGCGCTCTCCTCTGATGTGAACTTTGTCGAGACATGCCCGCGCGCGGTCTATGCTTTCGATTACGCCCTCTCGATAATTTGATCGAGTTATGACCCCGTTCAAAGTCCTCATCGACTCGGAAAGATCGTCGTCGATCTTTTGCAGTTCCTGCCTCAGTAAGACAACTTCCGAGGCAGAGGGAAAGCGGGCTGGCACCAAAGACTCAGCTTCCGATGGTGCAGTGGATATGCTCCGCTGTGTCGGGGAAGAACCGGTTGTCCGTGATGAAAACGTTGTCGACGAATGAACCGTGGTAGGCGAAGATACCGTTGATGCTTCTTCCGCATCCGCTTCTGACGTCTCCCACAGATCATCAGCAAGCTCAAGAGCATCCACTACGAGGGCCCGGGAGTCTGATAGGGCGCCCTTGCACTTGCGTTCGAGGACGCGCACCTTCTCGACTGCACTGCGAGCTTTCCGAATGGCGCCGTATAGATCGCGCCGCGCAGCTGAGCTGTTGACGGTCAAAGCAAGCGACTCGAGACTGGCAAGATGCTCTTCTTGAAGCGCCAGTTCGCGGCTTGCAACGCTGTGCTCCACGACTAAAACGCGTGTCTTCTCGTCGAGCTTTGCGTCCTTAAGGAAGTCGGTGTGTCTGCTTGGCTTTCGCATCTTGCTGGAGCTAGATGATCGCGATCTACTACGACTCTCAGACTGAAAGACTGAGCTTGGCGTACTAACGGGGGGTGGAGGGTAGCCAGGGGGTACGGTACTCTTCCATTTATTTATATTCCGGCTACGCCCAAGGGCGCCTGACCTTGAGCCGCTCATGACATTGGTGTCAGCCTCCACATGCATGGAGGAATGTTTGCCCCGGGACTCCTGATGCTCTCTTGCCGTGTGGTAAGTCCGGTTGCTGGTCGTATCCGTGGTCGTTAGGTCCGCAGTGGTCGAGCGATCATGATCCATATCCTGTTGGACCGTCTCCAACAAACTCAAGGTTTCTTCTACCGCTTCAACAAATTCGACGTCTTTGTAGCTGTTACTAAACAGCTCAGCGGTAATATGTTTGTGGACCGCAGCGCGTTCGCGAGAGTGCAGGTCACGCAGATACGCGACTGGGACTGGGTGGACGACGTTGAGTTTGAGCCCGGTCTCTCTCACTGAGATGAACTCTGCGAATGGCGCATCTTCCACAGCTTTGATGCTTTTGTAGCGGCCTCCGATTGTATGGACGGTTCGAGGAGCCATTGTAATATCGTCTTGGGGAGATTGGATGTTAGGGTCTGACGCGAAATCTTCGCTCGTTAATTGGCAGTAGAGGTATAGGGAGAAGCGCGCGCTGTAGAGGTGTGCTGTATAGTGGTCTTTTGTAATGCTGCTGGATATGCGCGCGTATATATATATGCGAAAGGGGTGTCTAGGCACCAGCTCTCCCTTAGTTCTCGTCGTGTTTCTTGGCGCATGGTCAATTCTTCTAGTGCGTCATTGAGAGAAGAGGACCCGCTACGATGAACGATGAGAAGCCGTGCGCACTGCTATAGCAATTCTCGTGTGCCTAGCAAGCGCGCACAGACCCGAAACTTGGTGCCCCTGTTACAATCGAGAATGAGACGAGACATATAGTTTGTCGAGTTTAACCATGATGACCTTCGAAAAGGCGGCCGAGCGGATGAGACCAGGCTCCATCCGGTTCCTCTGCGGTACCGATTCGATCACTCCAATAACCTCCTTTCTTAATACAGGTCTTATCCATACTCAGGCGGGGCGTGAAGGCGCTTGAGGCCTTGACTGTATTTTCCATGTGCTCCCATTCATCATAGTCGTGGAAATCGCCGTTCATATAAAACTCTTCTAAGGACTCTGGGAGAAGGGTCCTTACGTCGAAGTCGACATCAATCTGTTCGTAATCCTCCTTTCGGTAATAGCCTTGTTCTAGCGGCTCGTCATGTTCAGGGTCTCCCTCTTTTGCCATGTCGGGGCGAAGCATGCGCCATTGACAGTGGAGTACACGGAGCTTCTGAAACTCTCGGAGAGAAACAATCGCTGGGCCATCCTCAGGAGGTTCACTCTGTCAACTCATATCAGTTCGGAACATTGACGGGGGTTGGTGACTTACATCCGTGTCCTCCTCGCTGAGCATGAGCTCTTCCAACGAGCGGCCGGCGTGTGTAGCAACTGCTCGGATGACTTTCTTTGGTTCGTACCAGCTCGAATCGGACACCAGAGCATCACCACCGTTGTACGTTAGCTTCTTTAGATGCCGAGTGTTCGCGAGTATGGTTGCTAGGCCATCCACATCGAAGACAGAATGTCTGAAGAATAGCTCTTCCACGTTAGAGCACGGAGCAGCACCTGTGGGGAATAAAGTGCGTAGGACGTCCTCGCTAGGCGAACCACCCATTGCTTGCCCTACAAACGTCTTTACCGAAGGGATACTGAGATAAAAACACGCCCAGTCAGGAGAGCTGCTTCCTTCGTCCAGAGCGTAACGCACGGCGACCGTCTTGAGATGTTGTAGGGGAAGCTTTGGTGCCATGACCGGGTTCTTGTATCCTAACGCGATCTGCCATAGAACAAGTTCCAGACAGTCCTCCATGCCGACTTCTGAATGTCTGATGGTCGTGAGATAAGGTAGATGGTGCAGAAGGATCGCGATAATGGCGTCCTCGAAGCCTGCGCGAATTCGATCTTCGATAGATCCAATCGTGTCGTACGGGCGAGGTGAAAAGTTGAAGGCATGAGAGTATCGTCTCAGCAGATTCGATTCATCTACGCCGAACCCCGGATACATATCTTGCAGCCCCCTTGCTGCCTCAACGAACAAGGCCTTGTCTTCTTCGGATGGCACAACGCCATGCTTTGGGTGGGAAACATGCAAACTCTCGTTCGCATTCCAATTGTATTGCCGGCTTTCTGGAAGATTGAGTTCCCTGATGTACCACCCCAGTCGAGGGTTTGCTATTACGTCTCTCAGGGTCTCCCAAAGAAGCGTGCGAGCATCGGTCGTGTCGATGACCTTCCATTTCGCAAGTAGTCGTGCATGCTGTCTCAACAAGGATTTGAATAGTGTCGCATGATCTTTGCAGGTAAGGGCAAAATTGAGAGTCGAGTCCGGGTCCAAGTTGTCGGCTATGTTTAGCTTGAGCTCCGGTGGCAGCGTAATGAGAGCCATGCTGGTGTTGAGATGGGATGGCTCTCAACGGACGCGTCGCATGCCATGCTTTATATCGCGACGAGCAGAGCATCTGGGCGGATTGCTAGAGCTGTACAAGCCTAGCGCAAGGCTGCGACGAGATGCCTCGCTCCTTGGGGAGTGGTGGAACGGCGCCGTGGCATGCGTAGCCGGCCCGCCGTCCAGCGCGCATCGCTGCACTGGGGGCCTGACGCCTGCCTGGAGCCCTCGCGGCTTGACTGGACATCTCACTCCATGCGCGGGGTTACAGATCCTTTAAACATAGAATCTTTTATTAAGCAGTGGCACAGACAGGGGGGAACAAAGAAGATGCAAACGCGGCGGGGCGGAGCAGCCGGGCAGGCGCGAAAGTGGCGCGTCTTTCGGCGCGTTGCGCGAACTTCATCTCTACCCATCACTGCGCATCACCAGCGGCAAGGACTATCAAGACATGCATTCGATTATCCTCTGGTACCCATCTTCTTATCCCCCTTCTCTCTCCGACCGCGGGGACCAACCGCCATTCATTCACAATTGAAAGCGCACGCATTGAACTCATACTACGAAGGCTACGGCTGGTATGCCCACTCGCTGTACAAATTCCAGGTCTAGACAGTTCAACATGCTACTATTCAACATTCTACAAGCGTAACATGTGTCGCAGTTATGCTACCCAGCTATCTTCCGACATTTTCGCGCCTTCTCGTCGTCAATAGCGAATTTGGCAGCTAGACCAGCTGCTCCACCAACGTCAGGCTTTGCCTCATCGTCACACTCAGACCAGCAAGTCCACCTTGTCTGATCCAGCTCTTCGTCGCCGTAACCATCCTCGTCCTCTACATCGTCCGAGACAGAGAGATGCAGGTCCAACACCACATCGTCTTCGCCGATGAGCACTATGAGTGCATCGGCCACGCTGATCATCTCGAGCATCTCCTCTCGCGCCGTTTTCGCCCCCTGCAGGAACTGGTTGGCAAATGCTGAAATTGGTCCTATACCGGGGTGAAGGGATAGTATGCCCTGATAGCGACTAGGTGGTCTGAGAGACGAGTCGTCGACCAAGGCGTCAAATTCAGCCTGGACATAGGTTGTGTATACCTTCAGGTTCAGAAGATCTGCTATTGAAGAGGACATTCGCGATGTGTCAATCCACTCCAACCCAAGTGGAGCAGCATGCCTACCAGGTTGGTAACTCTGGCGCTGCGCCGGGTTGCGATTAAAGCAGGCGTTGCTGCGGGTGGGCCAGGTAATGGTATCCTGTGTGAAGGTGACGTGTTTCTTCACTCGGGCCTTCGCGACTTTCGCTCTCGCTGCGTCAAACGACGAAAGCTTTCGCTTCACTCCAGGCCTGGGAATGACGTCCGTCAGTACAGCTGGATATTCTGTCCGCATCTGGGCAATGCGTATCGCTTTCGAAGAGCTATTGGTCGTCCACATACACCCTACGTCATTTGGGTGTTGTTTCTCCCAAGCTTCCTCGTACTTTTGCGAGCACTCGAGAAGCTCCACAAGCTCGACTAATTGATAGCGCGCCAGGTGCCAACACTGTCTGACTAGTACGAACTCATTGCGAACACGCGCTTGCTGCCAAGGGCCGCCACATCTCTGGAATACCCGGGCAAGCGCATCGAGGAACTTGAGGCACATCTCTACTTCGCAGACCGGGCAATATCCGCCGGTGATGATATCTGAAGGGTGCAGCCCATGTCCGCACATGGTCGCAGGGTTTCGATTTCGCGAGCGTATGTTGACGCGCTTGAGCTTGATGCTTACTTCGTCAGTGCGCCGATGTGCAAAAAACTCGCAGTATTCTGTCGCATTCCGAACAATCCCACGCAGTGAGCCCACGCTGTGCTCTTCCTGCCATTTGGTGAAGTGCTGCACATCTTCAGGCGAGAAGAGAATGGCTGCGGGAACGTACTCGGCTATGGAAGAGGGCATGATGTGGAAGGTTGCGCCGATGTGAAAGAGTGAGTATTAGAGGATCGTAAGACATTGCCAGAAAGCCCGTGCTTGTTCTCGAGTTTGTTTCGGTATACTGCTCTGGAAGTGAATGCGCAATAGCGAATGGCAAGTGGAAGATCTACTGAGAACAGGGTGTTTGCACAGTGTGCAGTCATGGGTGTTTGGGTCATTGCAATGAATCGTTCAAGAGTCAGGGAACTAACAATGTATTGTAGGATGAATGTGTCAGCCTCAGTCGAGGGCGCTACGTCTACGTCATACCCAACCGGTTGTTGTTCAGATCGATGCGCGTCACATCGTAATCATCCACATGTCCTCGCTTTACAGCTGGCTCATGAAAACCTCCTGGGGCCCATATGTTCTTCGTATACAACTGTGGCGTTCAATCCCTCGCGTCTGAGATCCCAACACCCTCGCCATCTTCCTACTTACGCCCATTGCTTTCCGTCCTAGTCGCACCTCCTGCGCATTCGTATGTTCTCCAGATCTCATCACGACATTCCTCCGACATGACTTCTAGATGTGACGTCCAGCCTTTGTTCCCCATCATGCAATCCCCGTCCGCGTCATCTCCTGGAAGATTCTCAATATCTCTCGTTGTATACGGGATAACATGAGTAACCTGATCCTTCTCATCAGTCTTCACGAGCAAGTAGTCTGCAGTGCTCAGACTTTTCATAAAAGTCTCGTTCGGCACCTCATCCTTTCCATCGTGTATACGCGATATCTTATCCCCGATTTCGGGCCACCGAGGATGCAGTTCTGCAATACCCTCATGGTTGGACAAAGCGATGGCGTCGACGAGCTCGATATTCCAGGGGCAATCAAGCTTCCTGATGATCTTGAGCTGCCGAACGTTGTAGCGTTTGACGACCATGTTCGAAGTGTTGAGTAGGGTGCTCGACGAGGGTGCTGCGTGTTTTCCCGGTACGTATGCCTTCGTGCTGCGGTGGAAACTTACACGGGGTCGACTGATTTTGAAGTTTGTGTCGGACGCGAATTGGACGCGCTTTGTCTTTGGAGCTTTTGCTTTAGATGAAGGAGTGTGATAATTTGTAGTCGCTCCTGGCCACATTGTTGGAGTGCTGGTACGGCAATCCGGTTCTGCGATCTCGCCAGTCCTTACACTAGCAGGATACCTGGACATGGCACGCGCAATGGCCACTGCATTGCCTGCTGAGCTTGTCTTCCGCGCTGCTTCAACTTGTTCCGGATGCTGCTCTTCCCAACGCTCTTCGTTCTCTGCGTCGTCTCCATAGCGCATCACGAGCTGTGCAAGCTCAAGTCTTCTTTTGTGCCAGATATGGCAGTAAGCGTCTCGATTTTCAGTACTTTGACCTGTCAGTGGCCTCCAAGGGCCCCCTTTACCATCCCAATCTTTAGTGATGCGCCGAAGTAGATTCAGATAAGCTACGACTCTGCACACTGGGCAGTATTCGTCATCGTAGCTTGTGTTGGGGTGAAGTAGATGTCCACATCTAGCCCCAATGCGGTGACCAATGTTGTCCAAGTTGCTAGCTTTTCCGGGAGAATTGTTGAACGAGAGCGGTGGACGGTCTTCTACGGCGGACAGTCGCTCTTCGATGTGACTATGGCTGGTATAATCGTCCTGAATTGGGGAGGCGGACTGCGTTACTTGAAGCTTGTCTTGGAGTAAGCTTGCCAACATGGCATTTACTGCTGGCGAACCAGCCGTCATTGCTGGTCACTGTTGTAACTGGGTATGTGTTGACGGACAATGTATGTGGTTCTGGAATGGTTGTACATGAAAGTTATTTGGGAACAAAGAGTCGGTTTTGACTTGGCCGCGTTGTCAGCTGCGGGTGAGCGCTGTCGTTCACTGTGACTTTTGCCATCTGTGTACAGCCAACGCAACTGAGTCGCCGGATCCGGAGAGCAGACGACTGACTTCGCACCCAAAACTCTATTCTTTTCACTGTAAAATTGTATATCCCTCCATACCAAATCTTACTGCGCACCCTCATCTAACCCGCACATCTCAACAAAACAATCATCCCTCCACTTCATCAACCTAGCCATCTTCGGCAAACCAACATTATTCTTAGGCACAGTCCGCTGCAACTCAAGTATCCACTCGTGAGCTTCCGCATCTTCCTTCATATCATTAACAAACTGGAAAGTCACAGACTTATCCCTCTGATCCTGGTAAAGAATCATCCCTTTCGCCCTCGTCCAGTCATCTCCGGTAAGGCTAGAAAAAGCGACGCCGCCTTCAGTCAGGTCCTTGTAGATTTTGAAAACCTCAAAACCAAGCGGATGGTCTCTGAGAAGAGTTTCGGAGCCAGGAAGCAGCGGCAGACCTGCTCGCATTTGCGCATGGAAGGAATTGTGTAGGACGTCGATTTCGTCTGCGTTGCGGACGTGGAAGATGGCGTGCACTTTAAAGTTGAGAAGCTGCTCCAATTCGTTGCTCATTAGGCTGGTGTCTAGCCAGGCTCCGTCATCTGGTGGGCAACTGTACTTCCCAGCCGAGTACGTAGGGCTTGAGCGCTTCCACAGATGTGTAGCCCGGCCAGGCTCAAAGTTGGTGTCTGGGCTGAACTTTACGGATTTCTTTGGGCGATGCGGCTTGGACATGGACTGGCTTCCTGCAAACATGGTATTGAGGTCAGGAATTTGCACGGCTGGCGCTGGAGAGAGTGAGAGATTATTTCACCCGATTCTCGAAAAGTGACAGCAATATATAATTTCTCGTGACTTCAATGCATGTGACACTGTGTATGTGAATGTACAACAAAGGTCAAAGCAATTTAACAGTGTTCTCGAACGCAGGATGATGATGGGAAGCGCAATATAGCAATACTCGACGAAGCACATGTCGACTCAACAGGCATCCAAGGGTTGTACCACTCCTCGTTCCGCATCTCTCCAAATCTAGGTAAGTGTCGCAAGTGCTGACCATAAGCCAAATCCATAACTCCAGCGCCTTGTATGCTCTTTCCTCCTCACCCGGCGTATCCTACAAAGCATCTCCTGCATCACTGCATCGCTGCATCACTAGATTCCATCCTGGGATATTGACATGTTGCTCTACACGGCAGCATAACCTCCTCTGCTTCCGCCTCCCTGTACAGTCCCCATGACCTTCCTCGCGAAGTCTTTCGCAATGTACGGGATGTCGCGGATCGTGTCTCCATGGGGCAGAAGGTCCCATCCGCGTGCTCCGTACCTGTTATAGTTGAGCCATGAGCCGAAGATGAGGTAGGCAGCGATCGCGAGGAAGAGACTGGACACTTGTTAGAATACTGTGGAGATGTAGAGATAAGGTCATGCAACTCACATGATGAAGAACCAGCCAAAGAAGCCCCAGTGGGAGCCACCGTCCGGCGACGGCGCGTCTGCACAGGCGTACTTGGTCCGCCATTGCAGTCGCAATGTCTGAACTTTCTTGTCTTTCCCTTCAGTCTCCATGTCGTAGCCACAGAAGCGCAGACTGTTGTCGTTGTCCTCACACTTGCTCTTGCCGTTCTCTTCCCTCCTCCTCAGCTTTTCTTCTTTCTTGTCATCGCCCTCCTTCTTGTCATCCCCTTTGTCGCCTCCGTCATCTTCCTTATCGTCATCCTGGTGCGGGCTCTTGTCCATCTCGTCACCCTCCAGTCCTGTCCTCTCCTTGTCGCAGACGAATTCGATGATTGCACGCTGGTTTATGCCTTCCTTCTTGTCGTCGAACGGGAATCTGCCTCCGTTCAGCGTTGCCCTGACACCCTCTAATCCCGCATCGTTGTTGCTCTTGGAGTTGCCTAGGTTCTCAAACTTGGCATCGATCTTCCTCCCGTTTTGCGTCGCATATGTTCCGGCGATATCGATGGGAGTGATGGTGGAGTTGGAGTCACTGCTCAAATCGAAGTTCTCTCTGATTCCACACACCCTGGTCCCGTGATGGCACTCGGTTGCCAGACTGCCGCCTTTGTGCCATTTGAGATTGTTGCAGATATCGATGGTAAAGTTGAACTTCCACTCGAGCTCTTTGGCGATATCAGTCTCCTTGTAATGAACGACGTGCGGGCCGCCAAGCTCTTTGAAGTTGAAGTGCTGGCCATCTGCGAGAATGTCTTTGCAATCAAAGGCATAGGCTGTGTAGGGAAGGAGGGATGTGAGGGCGAGAATTGAGAGCAGTGGCGCTCGGGACCGCGATGGTGCCATGGTGGCGCTGGTAGGTGATGCGAGTGTCGTGGTGGATGGAAGGACGACGGCGGAGCTTCGGGGACGGATACGCCGTTACGGAGATGATGAGGATCAGGGAGGCAGCCGTGGGCGGTTGTGCGACTGTCGCGACGTCGAGCGGGAAGGCACGAGGCGTTCGGTGGATGGATAACACGTGAAAGAGATCACTTGATCAGGGCAGCAATGTCGCGATGTCGCGTGAACCGACTCGGAGAGGAAAGATGGCGCGAATGACGCTGCACGACTCAAACGGCCGCTGCTTAGTCAGATCGGCGCATCAATCTCCGCCCACCAGATCGTC